GTAGGGTTTGTTTGTTGTCTGTTTGTTTTTTTGTATCTGTCTGGGGAAGACCAGACTCACAGTTCAGGAATCTACTACAATGTAGGTCTAAAGATGCTGGGCAGCCACGACTGACAGGTGTCTGCTGTAATAATACCCCACAAAAATAGCAGCAGGCAAATTGTGTAAACTGTTTGGCTTCTACTGTTAAAAAAATGTGTAGCTAAAAGATGGAAAAGAAATACACAAAAATGCTAATGCTAATTATCTCTGTGGTGGATTGTGGGTAATGTTTTCTTTATGTTTTGTTTTCAAAAATTTCTCTATTTCCGTGTAAATTAGAAAAGATGAGAGCTTACCATTTAAGAAAGGATTAATTAAAATAATTGCTGCCTTGCTACATGGATGAAACTCTATCTTGAAAGTCCTGGGCAGATTAAAAAAAAGCAAACAACGAGCAAAAAATTACTCTCTTGTTTAAGGTGAGGTTAAAATCTATTTTCTATTTTCTGTGGCTTTGCCCTCAATGGGCGGCGCAGTAGCTGCTGATCACATTAGAGAGTCAGAGCGTCTTAAACCTGGAAGGCCTTAGACATTGTTTACCTTAACTTTATAGCATTCGTCTTGATTTGAAGTTTTTGAAAATACAAAACATACATATATACACACATTCATGCACACTAATCTGTTTAATATCTGTCTTCCCAGTAGACACAGGGCAGGGACCATGAATCCCCAGTGCCCTCTACACCATAGACACATAGCGGGTCCTTACTATAGGAATGCGATGCATGATTGTTGGTTAAATCACAAGGGAAGGGACCATAGGTTTCCTCCAGACTAACTGTGAAGCCTTCCAGTCCCACCTGCTGACTGGTCCTCACTGAGATGGTCGTGGCTCCCTGGGACGTCGTTCTGCTGCTTCTGCACTGCTCATTGGAGATTCTAGAGCTCTCTTAGACCCATCAGCTTACTTGCCTCTTGGAGACCTTTCTTTCCCTCCTATACTTTGCTGGACACAAGAAAATGTGAGGGTCCTGCTATTTTCCATGGCCTACTTTGGAAAGAGAGCACAGGTCTTCTGCTCTCAGGCTCCCCTACCACCTTGGAGTTCTGTTCCTACCCCTGTCTACAGACCCGGCCTTGGGGACAGGAACTATTTTCAAGGGCTCAGTGGTACCTAATTTTCTTGCCTCCCCTTCATCTGGTCCAGAGGGTCTCTTTCTCACCTAGGGGCAGGGAGGACACTCACCCACTGCTCAGGTGTTCCTCCAGATCTCTTCTCTTTGGCCTTGGTCTCTCCTTTGGAAAATCAAAAGCCAGGGATTTGACTCATATTCTTTGTAGTTTGTGATGCCATCTTTTTCCTGAGGCAGCATATGCTACAGGTTCAATGGGGAAAATGTGAAAGGATAGGAGGAAATTTGAGGAAAAACAGCCTTTGATTAACATCTCAAAAATATCATCTGCCCCATTTGTACAAAAGTTGGGCCAATTTTAAGGGAATGAAATTAGCTATAGTTATCCCAAATTTCCAAAGTCACTTTCCAAAGTTTGTCAGTTTACTACTGATTCTAGAAAGAATGAAGCGTGCCACTTAGGAAAGGGAACAGAAAGTTTGCAAAATAAGGGAGGCTGCAGGGAGGCCTGTTTTTGCTGCTGTCATAAAGTTTCTCCCAAACAGTTGAAGTTCCGATGAAATAAATATCTGTCATGTTATTTAGGAGTGGGTGACAGGCTGAGAGTCACTGAGCAGGTGACGAGCTGTCCTTGCCTTGGTAAGTTTCCATGCTGGCTTTCGCCAATATGGATCTCATATTAAGTGATATGCAGTGAGAGTTTCCTCTGTCAGTTCAGTGACATGACTTTAGGTAAGGAAGGTAGAATGTCTCTGTGTCAGCTCGAGATGATTATGTTGGATATCACCTGTCTTAATAGCCCTACCTTCGTCTGCTAAGCTGTGGGCAAATGAGATTTTATGCTTTATTGTCAGGCTGCCAGATGGGGCTCAGGTAACTATATGTAAAATCTCATGCTCTGTTGCATAATAGTTGTTTGCAAGGAAAAATAAGTATCTTAAAGCTTTTTATAGCATTTGTTCCTTCACAGCAAGAGAATATTTCAAGTTTGTATAAGGCTTTATATTGTCATGCTTAACCACTGTGACTTCTACAACTGCACGTTGGCTGGGGCACAGTAAATTACTGGAAAAGCACTATGAAGATGTCATTGAGCTCTGCCTGCTGCTTCGTAATCTTCAGACGTTAAAGAAAAACATTGCTGTGTATGTCGTTTCAAGCTCCCTGTAGTATTCTAACAGTCTGAGATGCCACTCTTAATAACATGAGGTCATTTTTAACCAAATTCTTGATAGACCAGTCTTTCTATAGAATATGTTACCAAGCACGCATTTCTCTAGAATCCACTTCGTTATCAAGTAGAAGTCTAATAAAGTGTTTGTTACCTAACAAAACCAATGTGAAAGCGCCATTAGGGAAGGGGAACCAAATATTCCAACTTTCTAAATTGCAGTCAGAGTTCAACACACCTGTAAATGGCAGAGCGGAGCCTGTGAGGCTCCTGGTGCAGAGCCGTCCTTTCTAGTGCAGTTGGCCTGCTCTTTGGGGACACAGTCCATGCCTGCTGTGGTTGGGTTTTGCGGGTGGGACGAGTTCAGAATGGGGAGACCATGAAGAACATTTAAAATGAATAAAATGTTAAAGGACTCAAGTTTTAGGAAAACTGAAATCCTGGTAGTGGTCCTCTCGAAGCAGCGGGTTCTCCTTATGAGATTTTGGAGAACAGAAACTTAACACAGCTTTTATTGGTGAGGAAAAATAGCCAAATCTTACCCAACACCAGAGTAAGGTAAGGACACTTTCTAAGTTTTTCTACTTAGGATCTCAGCTTCTAGGACAGATTGTCTAACTTACAATTTTTATGAAATTTTTACCACTGAGAAATGGAAAGGGTGAAAATGGGCCAGTTCTATGCTGACCCCAATATCAAATCTTCTAGGCCTGAGTCTGAAAGAAGAAACGAGTTCTATCTCTGGTATTGCCTGAGGAAATTACTCTTTTCCACAGTGAAACAACTAGAGGGAAAGGCTTGTTTGAATTAATGAAAAGTTTATAGTATAATCACATTTTGAAGAATGGTAGGAGCCCTCCTATCCAATGTGATTGGGGCTGGTACTTGGGTAAATAGAGGAAACAATTTTAAAATGAAATGACATAACTAAAATATTTACATCAACTTAAAACATATCATTGTACATTTTCTCTGATTTTTTTGATGTGCCGCCAACATCTAATGTTCTCTGATTAGATGACATTTAATCTAATGTCATCTCTTTTGCATAAACTGTACCTATAATATGTTGATTAAGTTTGCCAGGTTTACCTTCTTTAAAGTGGAATGAGAATTTAGCAATCTCAATTCAGAATACTAGATTTTTACATTTTTTAACCAACGTTTAGTCTTGTCAATTACTTATTTAACAATATTTTTTTTTTGCAACTTGTCATTATCAAGTTTTTTAGTAAGCATTTGACTGAGTTTTCCTAGCAAAGATAACTCTCACACTCATCCTTCATCAATTTGTCATATTTAAGTCACAAATTTACAATAATGAGTACAACTGGCATAAACAAGTTTGGGAATAAACGCAATGACTTGGGTAAACACACATCTCAACTGGAAGGGCAGTTCATGGGCGTGCCAGAGAGTATCTCCTAGCCGCAGGCATTCCCTTTGGCAGAGGCAACCTTCAGCATCTGTTAGAAAGGACTGAAGGACGCTGGTTAATCTATGAGTTGGTTAAAGGGCCTTTAATTAAGAGAGTTTCTACTATAAATACGTTTTCATTAATATGCATAGGTAGTAACACTTAAAGAGCATTTTTGCAAAATGTTTTCTAGTACGGGTCCTGCAGAACTTGCCTTAATGAACAGCTAAAGCTCACTTATAATCAGCAGAATCTGTCTGCGCACATAATTGGTGCTCTAAAGTGCTTCTCCCTGGCAATCTAGTTTACACTGTGGTGCTATAATTGGTTTGTTTATCAGGCCATTTTTTTCTTAAATGGGAAGAGATGATGTTTTGGTCCACTCCTCAAGTTATCACAATTTTTAAATTAATAATTTGGAGATTTAATGAGCTCTTGTTCTATTTATACATGCTCAAGAACCTAAATACCTCTGTTAATGTTTTTAGATTTTTTTCTTCTCCTAAGTACTGTAGCAATCAAGTATGATATGCCAAAGATAGTTTTAAAAAGAAAATAGATATTGATCCTATTGCTATTAAGTTAATAGATTTGGAAAATTTTAGAGCTGAGAGACAGAAGTATGTGTGTATGTGTGTGTATAAATACACACAGAGTCAAAGAGAGAAACAGAGGCAGAGAGAAAGAGAGGGAAAGAGATAATCAAAGAGAGAATAAGACACAGAGACGGAGTGATGGATTTTATATTTATGTCATATTCACACACGTATATATGGAGATATATATACAGAGAGAGACAGACAGAGACAAGGCGACAGAGAGACAGAGAAATGGAGAGACACTAAGGAATAGAGAGAGAAATAGAAAAGCAGACAGAAACAGAGGAAAATAGATAAGGAGAGAGAAAACACAGAGAGACAGAAAAAGACAGATGGAAACAGCCACAATGTGAGAGACAAAGAGAAATGGAGACATCTAGAGAGACATCTGAGGTGGCAGAGGAAGAGCCACCTCAGAGATATTGATCAAGATTAGCTCCATCCCTGCCCTGGTTGACCAAAGCTGTAGAGTCACAGGTGTGGAGGTCAGAGGCCTTGGGGTAGCCGCGTCACTGTCCGGGACAGACAGGCAGACCAGGGGAGCACCAGGAGACACAGTGTCATAACAGGCGATACCAGGCCTATGAGTAGGTCACAGCCTGGCTATTAATTAAATGGTCCTGCACCACTTATTCACGTTTATTAAATGTGTTTTTAGCTCTAAATGTATTAAAAAAAATTTTTTTTGGCTGCAGAAAGGTACTGAAGGAAATCTGTGTTGGAGAACTCAATCCAAATGAGACTGTGCAGGCCAATTTGGAGGCCCAGCTCCTTTCCAAGCTGGACCACCCAGCCATTGTCAAGTTCCATGCAAGTTTTGTGGAGCAAGATAATTTCTGCATTATCACGGAGTACTGTGAGGTGAGACTCCTCTTTTCGAAATCTTGATAAAAACCTGTTTCATACTAAAAAGCTGTCTGTAAAGAGACATCTCAAAAGTTAAATTATCAAACCACAAACTGAACTATAAAGACCTGGGATCTCATGTCTTGCAGCTAAGAATGATCATCTTTGGGTAATTGACAAACTTTTTCTAATGAAGGGTTTCTCTCCTTTGGAAAACTCAGAATGAATATATTTTAACGAGGAATATCTGCAGAAGAATGCTTCAGTGTTTTTGGTGAGAGGGCTTCTCCCAAACCTCCTACAATGGTCCAATGCTTAGATGGACATTTAATACCGTCACAGAGGCCTGGACAGAGCAGAGGTACAACTCCTGAGTTCTAGGTTCTAGCTCCACGGCTCATTTTCCCAAAAGGGAATTTGGAAATGGAAATATGGCTCATTTTCCACGTGGAAATCCTTCATATTTATTGAATTGTGATTTATGGCTTCAGGTATTTGCAGTTTTCCCTGCCACTCCATGTTCTCTCCAAGGGATAATAGCTGTGCATTTTACTGTGTCCCAAGAGAGTATGAAGCTGCTTAGAAAGGTGCCAGAGGGGGAAATTGACAAGGTGCGGCTGTAACATGGATCTGTGCATTCACTCCTCAGGGATAGGTAGAGGGGAGTCACAAGAGTTGGGTCAGCAAGAGAATACCCAAAGATGACCTTGCTCAGAAAGTATCTCCCAGAACATTCTGGGAGCTAGCATTAGCCGAATGCACCTCGGAAGAATTTGGTTCTGTTTATACTGTAGAGTGTATTTAGTTCATCACCTGGGTGTTGCTGGGGCCCAAAAGAAATGATGCTAGAAGAAAGCTGATGCTGTTTAGAGTGGAAGGCAGGCCTGTGCGGGAGAGAAACTTTGGGCAGCCAGAGGGTGGCGTGTGTTTGAGACAAAGAAAAGAAGAGGCAGGAGAAGGAGAAGCAGCTCGGAAGGAGTAGGGATGGCAACATTGTCTGCTTTACACATTAGCTAGTGAATCATCCAAAATGAAACCAACAGCCAAGTTAAAATATCTGAAAGTTTGAGATATTCCGAGTCTCAGCTATTCCTCTTCAGGGCAGCCTCCTGAGCTTAGTGCTGCTGGTGTTTCCCCATCCAGATCTTGCACCTCCTCTGCTTGGAGGAAAGTGAGGAAAAAAAAAAAAAAAAATGAACCAGGACATTTGGATGTTTACTTCTCCTTCATCCAATGGATTGTTAAGAAAAATCAATAAAATGAGGAGGTGTGCGGAGTGGTGATAGTGAACAGCTACTCTGGCAGTTATGTCACTAATCCATGCACAACTACAAGTATTTACATATGTAGCTACACTACGATGCATATAATTTAATCACTTTTCTTCCTTTAGCCCCATTCAATTAATAAACTATCTTATGTGGAAAACAACTTAAGTGGAAAAAAGTGCTTTTTGACTCCTACTGCTTTATGACTAGTACCTCTACTGCTGCTTTTGGCACACTGAATTTTCCAAAGACTCTTTCCTGGTCTTAAAATATTTTTCCCTTAGTCAGTACTGTCCAATGGAACTTTCTGTGATGATGGAAATCTTCTATATTCTGTCCAATACAGTAATCACTAGTCACATGTGACTCTTTTGCACTTGATGAAGTATGGCTAGTGTGATTGAGGATCTGGATGTTACATTTTATTTATTAATTAATTAATTTATTTATTTATCTATCTATTTATTTATTTATTTGTGGGGAGGATCAGCCCTGAGCTAACATCAGCCAATCCTCTGCTTTTTGCTGAGGAAGACTGGCCCTGGGCTAACGTCCATGCCCATCTTCCTCTACTTTATATGGGATGCCGCCACAGCGTGGCTTGACAAGCAGTGTGTCGGTGCACGCCCGGGATGCGAACCTGGGCCTCCAGCAGCGGAGCGCGCGCACTTAACGGCTACCACCAGGCTGGCCCCAATTTAATTTTAATTAATATAAATTTAAATAACCACGTGTAGCTAGAGGCTACCATATTGGACAGATCTAGATGATAAGCTATCTTTCTTTTCCTGCATTAATTTTTAAAATTTTTAATTTTAATGTAATTTTAATCTACCAGAAAGGTTACAAGAAAAACACAATGAACGCTCATATACACTTCATCCAGATTTGCCAGTTCTTGGCATTTTTCCACACTTGCTCTATCAGTCTATTTATCTTATCTATCTATCTACATTTTTTCCTGAACTATTTGAGAGTAAATTGCAGACCTGATGCCCCTTTGTCCTAAATTCTACTGTGAGTATTTTCTAAGGCCAAGGACATTTTCTTACATAACTACAGCCCAACAATCAAAATCAGGAAGTTAACAGTGATATCTTGCTAGTATATAATCCAGTGGTTCTCAAAGTATGATCCCAGACCAGCAGCATCAGCATCGCTTGGGAACTTGTTAAAAATACAGACTGTCAGCCTTCACCCCAGCCACACTGATTCTGGGGGTGGGGCCCTGCAAACTGTGTTTTGACAAGCCCACCAGATGAGTCTGAAGGTGACACTGAGGTTTGAGAACCACCCATCTAATCCACAATCCGTATTCAAATTTAGCCTATTTGTCCCAATTATGTCTTTAGAAAGAACACTTCTATAAAAATGTTTTTTATCAAGTAGGATCCAATCCAGGATCATCTGCGTTAATTTTTAAACGCTGGTGTTTTCCACCGGCTGAGCTGCTCTCCCGGGAGGGGCGTTACCATGGTGACGGCCACTGGCAGGGCCCTGGGAACGGCTGCGGGGCTTCCTGGGCTCAGCGCTGCTGAGCTGTTAGGCTGCCGCTTCCTGACTCCAGAGGAATGACGTCTGCCATGGCTCCATCGTTGTTGTTAACAGATATTTCTCATCTTCAGACCCAAATTTGCTCTTAACGCCCACAAGCCTGGCATTATCCTCTTTTTATGGAGGTAAAATAATAATATTGGAAATGGCAGATGGCCAAACTTGCACCTTATAGGAAAATGCTATCACCTTTGAAGTAGCTGGACTTTTTATCTCCAGGTTTCCTCTTCCGTAATTTAATTTAGGGCCTTGGGAGATTGAAAGGTATATAAATGCATTCCTGAAGCCGCTGCATCCACCACCCAACCCTTTGGACACATCACATCAGATGATGAGTGTAAAAAGCAAATAACCCAACTCTCACAACTTCTTGTCAATATCTAACCAAATTTTTGATGGAGAACGGTTCCCAAACTACCAAAGTGGCAGAATGGGTATTTCAAATATTGGCATCTTCTATTCTCCTCCACCCAGGGGAAATGGAACTGCTTGCTGTTCCCTGTCCATCCTCCACTGTTGCACACTTTTTCATCTGTGCTTGGGCCATTCCCTTTCAGAATGTCCTTTCTGCTAGCCCATATTCAAATCCTACCCATCCTCTCAGGCCAACCTGAAATGCTGCTTCCTCTACAAAGACTCTCATATCTCCTGGCTGGAAGTCACTCCTCACCTGATCACCCCATCTCATAGCATTTTATCTTGGGTGGCACTCAGCATATTATACATAGTATAAACCATCTCTGATTCTCAACTTGTGGGATTGATCTTTTTCTTATTCGTTTTTGTATCACATCATGGACCTACATAATGAACCACAAAGAAGTTAGTACTCAGGAAATTTCTTTTTTTCCGCTGATGAATTTTTCCCCTTTACTACGTGATTTCAGCTGCTTCACCTCATTTTTGTCCAACACTGATGGTAATAGATAAAATATTGGATCCTTCTGCCTGTCATATATATCAAAAGCATTGACATATGTGACAATATATGTCAAAATACCTTATTTTGCTGGTACACCTAACAATGTACTGCACTGGAGACCTGTGAGGTACTGCCTGAAGGTGTTCCATTTAGGTGAGGATAAGGCATCCCCAGAAACCTGGGCATTAAATTAGTAGACACAGTAGAGAACAGATGAGATCACATATCGTCAGGAGAGAGAGAACATACGACTATCAGGGCAAAAAGTAGCAAAGGCTAGACTTGTCTGTTTCCTGCACAATGATATTAACATAGCTAACAAAAATTATATCAATCTAATGGTAGTGCTCAACCTTGTCTGCACATGAGAATCACCTGGAGAGCTTTCAGAAATCCTGCGGCCTGAGACCCTCCTCCGGAAAGTCTGATTTAATTGATCTGGGGTATGACGCAGGCATCAGGATTTTTGGAAGCTCTCCAGGGGATTCTCATGTGCAGCCAGTGCTGAGAACTGCAAAAAAGGGAGAATGGTAAGTGTGAAAACAGAAAAATAGAGTCATAAAGGAAAAATTTGTCAGTGTTTATAGAGCACTGAGCAAAGGTGAGGCCCAGACCTGAGAACAGGGAAGTCTGGCCCTGGTGGTGGGTGTGGTTTTCTACTCAGGCCACCTAGCTTGGTGCTATTATTCATAAAAATTACCCAGCTTGTTCTCCTTGCTCCCTGAGCAAGCTTCTGTCCTGTTTCTCCTCACCCACTGATTTAAGCATCTATCAATGGAAGTTGCCTGGAGCAATTTTTACTGTGATGTTTCCCTAATGGTGAGTGTGGATTTCCCTCATTCTTCCTACATTTACTGATTCAGATTCTCCTGAAAGGAAGAGCTGTCCCACTATTCTTTTTCTTCCATTTATGTACTTAGTTATTTATTTATATCAGTATGGACTCATGGATATTTATTTTATTCTATAGGTTATAACCCAATACTGTCATTATTAATTTTATTTCTCAAATTTCTCCAGCTTCAGCTGTTGGGGCTCCTTCACGTTGGCTCCTGTGTCCTCTTAACATGCCCCCATCCTGTTTCAAGAAGTGGATTCTTATTTACTGATTATATTTTATAAATGAGGAAATAGGACCCCAGAGAGGTGGAGTGACTTTCTGGCAATCACATGGCTGGAATGTTGAATTTCGTCCAGGGCGGGACCGGGACCAGGGGTATTGGGAAAGCTGCTCCTTTTTTTTTGTCTACTTGGATTGCTCCTATTCCTCC